GCTTGAGTCCCGAAAGGGATACATTTCCATCAGTTTGCATTTTGACTTTCAATACTTTACAAACATGAAGCAATAAGAAGCTAAGAAGTGGATCTGGAGAAAGTTAATTCTACTAGGATCTGTATATGTATTTATGGCTGAAGTATACATTTATAGTGTTTCTACTTCAGAGAATTTAATACATGCACATTTAATGCATACGCATTTAAAATTTTCCCAGTTTGCAAGGTCTTACTAGTTTTCCACATATTTTATATTTACAAAGGGTGGTGAAGTTTTGCTTTCCACAGGTGCCTCTCAGTATGCCAATCTAAATAAAATTATCCTCGGTTTTCCAAGTTTGTGCTAGCAAAAGAGCAAGACTACTTTGAAATACTGCATGAGTGAACATACAAATGGATGGGAGAAGAGTGTAACAGAGTAATAAACAGTAAAGTGGTTTGATTGCTGACCATACTAGTAATGGATGGAGCTAAGGAAAATGAAAAAACTGTTCCTCATGTTACCCCACTGGACATATGCGGCGGGTAGAGGGGTATGCTGGAATCATAATTTCTTTGCAGTCCCATTTTTCCATAGTTTTAGAACACATGTTGTCCTTTGAAAGAAAAGACACTAGATGGTACAAGTCTATGATCTTCACAGGTCCTCTCCAATCTTAACCATTCTGCAATCCTGTGCTACAAAGTCGTTGCCAAAAAAAATGGGGCAATTTTCAACAGGTAAATGTGGAATTCCCCACCAAAAGGTACAGAAAAACGCTAAAAACACACATTATGCTTTAAGTTACACATCACTGAGGAAAGTTGCCACCCTTGGTGTCCTGCAGTGAGTCCATAGAAAGTGTGCATAAACATTTCTATCTCTATGCCAGGCTCACTAGCCAAGTGCTTGAAAGAAGCACACTAATGTGAGACAACACCATTTGGTTCCCATGAGCTGCCCTAGGCTCTGAAGACCCCAGGATTTAAACAGCTGGTCCTTTCCTTTTCTTTTTTGATGCTTATTATAGCAGCAAGGCAGCAGATTGCTTGTATTCCATTTTTCTCGGACTCTTTCTGAAGTGTGAATGAGCATGTGTGTATGTTGAAGTGATAACATAAGGCTAAGCCACATTTCTAGTAAATATTACTTTAAATTATTCTGGAATGTAAAAATGCACTTGTGCAAACCAAGCTGCCCAAAAAGGGAAGCAGAGCTGTAAACCATCCTGCCTGCATGTTGAGCATGTCAGCATGAGAGCCGCCGTACAGGGGCATGTTTACAGGTCACACAAGCCTGCATCTATGCTGAAACTCATACCCTAAAACACAGAACATAATGCACTCAATTGCAACAACCTCCCCTACACAGGCAGGAAACCAGCTAAGACCTTTGGGCAGTGGAGACCAGATTCCTGGGTGAATTTAAGCCTTTTCACCTCTATAACATGGGTAGAAGCCAGGAGAGCAAGGAGTAGCCCCTCACCTGTGACCGAGCATGTGAGCACTGTGAACCTCATCGCTGAAGCTGCCTTCAAGGTGGATTTAAGTCAGCCTTCCATTTGACTCACTCCAGCAGTGACAGGCAAGGTATGATCCCCACTCAGTTCCTGACCTTCCCTCGGCCGAGACACAGTGGCCCTTTTTACCTATTTCAGAACCAAATCAAGCAGGCAAAGAAGCTGCTTAAAAGGTTCTGCTTCTGAACATACAGCAGCAGCAGTCAGACCCAGGAACATAAACCTGTCCATTGACAGCAGTAATGATATGTGGGTAATTACCAGTAAGGCTGATGCTATGGGTAAAGCTCTTTCATCCACAGGTGCAACTTAGTGATGCCAGAGTGTTGTGCAATGCCTGCGATGCTGGCAGAGAGGGAGGCAGGACTGAGCTGGGCAACAAGGTTCTGGTAAATCATTTAACTCTCTCGGGCATTGAGCCCCCTTTTGTTCATGTCTCTATTAAATCTGTAAGACAGGAACAGTGTCACTTGATGTGGTCATCACTCTGCTTTACTGCATCCCTTATTTTGACCGTAACTGCTACTGTAGTGCAGATAAGCGAAACAAAAATGTGAAGTTTTGGATCCCCTACAGACCTGGGATCTTGCAGTGACACAAGACTTACTGCTGCATGTCTTTCCTTCAGGCAAGTCTTATTTTGGAAGTGAAGTTACATTATTGGGAGTGGGGAGAGAATAATTCTGTGATAAAGAGAAAGAGAGCCACCAGAAATGGTAAAGCTTTTGGTCAAATTCTTGGGTGAAATAAACATAAAAGCAAATGGAGGCAGTACAGAGGGACAGTATGGCCCTGCAGCCCTACAGTCATTGGGAAAATAGTGAGGCTCAAGAACAAGGAACAAGTTTGGGGCTGGAGATGGAATAAATCACTGAACTGGAATCTGAAATGCTAAGCTCTTCTGTTCAACACATCGCTCCAGCATCCCCAGCCTCCATCAGATGCCCTGCATGCCATACCAGGCTGAACTCAACCATATGTTTGTAGCTAAGCTATGAAATTCATTTGTCAAGTCCTGGGAGTTTTTGGCAAGTTGTCCTGTACTATATGTGTGGTCTGCTACACTAAAACAGGCATGCAGAGCTTTGCAGTGGGTATGTCTATAGGATCCAGAGGCAACACAGCTGATGACTTCCCTGCTCTAACTTTTAGTGCTGTGTCATAATGAATGGAGATAGAGAGGACTCAAGTCAAAGATGTTTCGGCACAGTTGCTAGGCTTAAAGCCTGCTGACGGCTGCTGGAACGAGCTATAAATACATATCTGAGCTCTACGCCAACTGTGTAAACTCAGAAGCTGCCTCCTTCATTCAGGGACTTTATACCCACCAGAGAGTCTGGAGCCTGTTAGACTAGAGGCAAGTCAGTGGCTGGCAAGAGTCACATTTTCCTTGTGAAAGGGGATGTGAAAGATGCTAGGACAACGCGGGGGTGGATGACTGATAGGAAACGATTTCTTGGGTGTTTTGAAAGGAAACATATAATCCAGAGTTACGGGCCCTCATTAATCAGGTGAAGGAGTCCCGAGATGCCAGATCTCACAAGAACAGCCAGAGGACTTGGAGACACTTGTAAGCTCTTCCTAACTGAACCCTTGGCGTGACATTTGCCCAAATTCTAGATCCCAATTCAAATACCACCACCTTGCCCTACAAACAGTTGCTTAGTGGCTCCGATTCAAGCTGATTCACAACAAAAGATAAATCTTCCTGCTCCTAAAAGAAAGCAAAAAGCTGCCGAGAAATTTTTTAATTCCTCTGCCTTGTGCAATCTTGTGCTGGTGGTTTTCGCAGCAAGAAGAGGTCAGTCCCATTTCTTCACCTCCTGAATCCACATCCCTCTTCTCTGCCATGTAGGTTGCTACCGACAGTCCTGCCACCATATTTTTTAGTACAGCAGGCAGTGCAGAAAGGAGGCAGAACTCTCAGAAACAGATTTCATTGAAGATTTTTATATATATCATGAAGATGTCATTTTAACAGAGATTATCAAACTGCACAACTAGAAAAAAACAGATCGCTCTCAGACAAACAAGATCATCTCATCTTCAGAAGGAACTTCAGCTCATGAAGGTCAGCAGGTACCATTTAACCTTTTCCATAGCAAAAACAAGACCCATGAAACTACTGTTACATGGAGAAGTGCTGTGATTTGCCCCCCAGTGATAATGCAAAGCCAAATCCAAGGCTGCATGCTGACACCCCCAGTTCCCCGGCAACCTAGCTGCCCCTTAAGTTGGGTCCTTGGAGATTCTTTTCAGTTCTTCTAAGATGTATAAACTCAAATTGCCCAAACTTTGACAGCCTGCACACTTGAGGCTATATTGAGTCCTCATGAATGCCAAACTATCTCAATTTCAGCTGAGGATGGCAGAAGGCACAGGCACTCAGCACTCCTCATCCTCCAACCCCAAGTGTATATCCAACCTTCAGGCTCCAAATGATGAATCAAACTCCTCTATGAAAGCAACATCCTGGCAAAAACAGCTGCAGCTTCTCCCAGGTAATTTGGAAGACACACATGTTTCAAATTTGCCCACTAAACCAGCCAGAAAAACATAATAGTGCCATCCAGGAAGGATTTGTCCATAACACATAAAATGCATCACTCCAGTTTGGCATGGGGAAAGCAACAGATGAGATAAAAAGAAAGTTTTACAAGGTATATGCCACACTCCAGACTATGCTCTCATAGAGCAACACCTCTGAGCTGAAATCCACTTATTTACAGACTGCTTCTAGTGCTATACTGTAGTGGTTGTTTCCCACCTCCTACTCATGTTATATTTACATTCTAAGTTTCAAACACTCACTGATCCAAACTGAGGTCGTGAGATGCTCTGAGAAGGAACAACAGCTGTTGCCCTGTGCCTGCCTCAGCACAGCGAGGAGGACAGGCAGCATCAGGCTGGCCCTTTGCTGGGGTTGGCTCAGCATAATCCCTGCACGTTTGGACCCAAGTACTCACCTAAGAGCTGTACTCCGCGGGTGAGTCCGTAGACATCGATCAAAGCCCAGAGGGGCTCTGTTGTCCTCACCCCACTGAAGAAGAGCATCGCAGCAGAGTCGTTCACTCGATAGAAAACTCGTCCTTTCTTGTCCACCCAGAAGGCTATGATGTTTCCCTCGTTCGCAAACTCTTCCGGCAGAGCCTTGGCCCAAAAACCGCTTTGGGAAACCAAGTCAGGGCATGCATACTTCGGCAGAGTGTCAGGGTTAATCCTCGATGGATCCTTGGAAGTAAATCCGAGTCGAAGAGCCCCACTCCAGCAACACTGCTTTTTAGTGATCTGCAAAGATAACAGCAGCAATAACAGCGTTTGGCCCTTGAACATTCACTTACACACTACAGGCTCTATGGCACCAACACCGACAGCCACCGTGCAGATGAGCCCAGTAGATTTAGGAAAAATTTTACCCACTAAACACTGCTGTAGCTTTTTCAGCTGCAAGCAGCAATGCTGCACATTTAATATACAATGGACATATTAAAAAAAAAAATTCAAATTAAATCTATGCAGAGAGCTGAAATGTAATTACAGCTGCATGATGACTCACTTCTATTTCTAGGGTAATTCCTTTTGGCCTAAGAATCATCCTCTCACAAAATGTGCCAAAAATGGCCATAAGAGCTGCATCAACCCGCAGCAGCAGAGCTCTTCCCCTGTGGTGCTCAGATGGTGGGGTCTCTCCTGACCTGAGGGAAAAGCACCGGCTCCAGAATCACAGTCACCACCATAGGGTTTTCTGGGTTTTCTAGCCAAGTAAAAGACAGTCTTACCCTTGTTTAGTTTGTCAGATTGGATGAAATCACAGCCTTGCAGCAGAGAACTTGCATGTGGGAAAGCACAATTTAAAGTATTTAACTATACTAAATACACAATTAGGAGGCAATGACAGATCTTGTCTATGATTGGGGAAAACCTATTTATTTCAGCTTGAGTGGTGTTTTTCAAGATATGTTATGCGCATCTAAACCCCACCTGTCAGTATGCGGTTACTCAGTGTGTCTGGGCTCAGGAACATCTGCTATAGATTTTGGGATGGTGCATGTGTCATATCCACCTTTCTGCATCTAGAGACAGCAGGACAAAGGATCACATGTGCCTCCAGAGTCATCAGCTTCAACTCACAGAAACAGAGCCCTGGACTGCAGGGTATCTGATGGGAGAAGGCAGTGGGTCCTAAACATGTGCAGCACATCCAAAATACCTTGTAACCCAGTTAAGGTTTCTTTCTTCCCATGGAAGCAAGGAGTCTTCCAGTGTTAGTATAGTCCCCAGATGGAGATGATGCCCTTGGAGATTTTTTTCTCTCATTTTGTTGTTTGAGTGTGAACCTGCTGGGAATTGTTCCTCTCAAAGGGATTCAGACTGTCAGCATCCAGACTTTGAAATGAAAGACCTAAGGATGCTGGATCCAATCCTAATGTGGGGCCAGGACAGTTCCTGCATGCCAGTTGACACATAATTGGCGTTTCTGTTCATGTACAGAACCTGCAGCAAACGTGAGAGTACTTAAGATAGCCTTCTTCCATCAAAGCCTCAGCAGCCTGAGGCAATTTCATTCTTGGCTGCAGGAGAAGAGCAGAAACATGGATAGGTACCACCTACCAGATGTCACACAAAACTTGCTGCATTACTGTAATTTCTTGCTCTGCCAAAGTGCTAATGGCTCAGACAAGTGGGGCAAGGCCAGAGACTGAACTGTCCAGGACTGCAGCACTTTGTCCTCAAAAGCCTGGCATCAGTCCCTCAAGTCCCAGCTTAGAAGCACAGGCTTTTCACCAAGGGATCCTCCAAGATATTTTCGTTGGTCTTCAGAATTCTCTCCTAATTACATTTGTAAATATTGCTTTTTTTTTTACACGTTCCTCTCCAAGGCAAATCTGGAACATGTTCCATTGGGGGCACAACAATGTCACGCAAAGCCATTGTTCAAAGTCTAGAGATTTCTGTTTTATAATTGAAGTATCAGAAAAAATAACTCAGAGCTTCAGGAAAAAAATTACAAACAGTTCCTCAGTTAAGCGAGTGCTGCTCTTTATCCCTACTCAGCCCAGCCAAGCACCTAAACTGTTTACATGAAACACTTGAGCATTGACCTCAGTCCCAGGAACCATAGGAAGCTCCTGCTTGCGGGATGGACGCTGGGGTGGCACTAAAAAGGACTGAAGCAGATTTGCTATTTTATATGCCTGGCCAGGATGGGATGGGACCGTGCATGTCCCCAGTGGAAGGGGGGGTGGATGGGGCATGCACGTGACAAAATGGGGGATATATGCACACTCCAAGAAGACTTATTTCTTGCAGCAAATTTAATGCAAGCCCTAAACACCTTTGGGTCTGAGATAAATATGGCCTCATTGTTATTTGTACAATTTACTCTTTCACAGTCTCTTGCCAATACTTTGTAGCAATCACAGGCCACATGAAGCAAATACTCATATGGTAATCAAGACTGCACATGATCCATGTATTAATCAGCACCTATAAACAGTTCTCAATACAGTCTGACCACAAGCAAACTAATATCCAAATTAAAATCTAGTATAAAGCCTGCCAAGAATTAGACACAGCTGGACAAAGGGTACGCAGTTTTGCTAAAAAAGGCAATGGTTAATGATAGACCAAATTCTCTCTTCAGCAGCCACTGCTAGCAGAAAAGCCTGGGAGGTCCACAGGGTACCAGAAAGGGAGAAAAAGATACAATCTACATCCAAACTGCTAAGTCATGGGTGCTTCCACAGATTCAGGCTCCTGCTCTTTACTGCCTTGTGTCTTCTGTCACCCACTCCCTAGCAGCACCCTGAATTACATGGAAGAAACCATACTGGGACATACATCTTGGAGGCAAAGAAAGTGGTTTCTTTGGTGGCATTCCCAAAGCCACAAAGAAATCTCGGAATAAAACCAGAAATACAATATCTAATATACAGATGAAATATGACTTCTTTCCTCTAGTTTTCCGAAGAGAGTTTAGACTTTATAGGACCTCAATGGTTAGTCTTTAGCTGGTAAGAAGGTTTAAGACACCATTTTCCACAAGCACACACAATAACAAGGCAATTGCAGGATGGACTTATCAGAAAAGCAAAGATGTTTTCACATTTCCATCCATCCCTAGAGTACAAGTTCTGCGGAAGCCTGTTGATTACTCCCATGAGATCTTCCCATTGGACTCAGCAGGAGCTCTGCTCACAAATCCCTTGTGCAGATTTGCATGCATATTCTTCACATACGTTATGCAAGCTAAAATCCTAAAATATACAGTGATAAACAAGTGTGAATTTCCAGAGATAGCTACATTGTTTCAGAATGAGGAAGAAATAACCCAGAACCTTTGCCTAAACCACTAAACTCACTCAAATCTTTGCTGGTGTTTTCAAAAACGAAACGCTTCTTTCATCTCCTCCCAAATAATCTTTCTCAGTTGTTTGTCCAAACTACTGGCCAACGTGGAAAAAAATCCCATTAGGCAACGCTGACTGAATCCTGCTGGGTTTCAAGCCTGAATGGAAGCAGTAAGAGCTCCACAGGAAACATAACAAACCTGCAGAAGGGATTTTTCTACCTATGGGACTGAGCCTGAAATCACTGAACTATCTCTATATTTTCAAAAGGAGGCACCTTCCTCATTTCTTGCTCCTTTGCTGGCTGCAAGGGAAAAGGGAGGGAAGGATAATACGCTGCTGTAGATTCCAGCACTCTGGGACCTCTAGCAATGTGCAACAGCAGCATCATTCAGAATCAGTAGCTATATACAGATAAACCTTCTGGAAAACTCCTTGTGCATAAATGAAGGATTTCCAGGCAGATCTTTCACGTGTGCCATGAACTGAAGTTGTCAAAGAAGATGACCTACTTTGTGCCAATGAAAGGCAGGAAATCAGCTAAGGCAGTCCCACAAACCAAAGGGCATAAAGATTGGGAAAGTATTTGTGGATGAAGTTGAAAGGGCCACAAGCTCCTCCAAGCTGCTGAGAGCCTAAAAAGTGCTTCAGTTCCTAAGGACTGATGAATTTCTTCATCAGGAAGCAGCTCCCAGTGCACATGGAGGCATGCTGTCTTAGAGGAGCTGAACTTCCCACACCAGCTGCAGCACGAGGGGTACCAACTCCATCCTCCTGGCTACCACAGACACAAAGGAAGTGAAATCAGCCTCTGACAGCGAGAAAAATGTGATGCCTGCAATGTTCTCTCCTCTGACCTTAATGCTATCAGGTGACTGATTCAACAAAGCAGTCAGCAGGCTGCCAGAAAGATCCTTTTCTTATACGGCTACTGTGACCGCACTGACTGCTCCTTTCATTCTTTCAGCCAAAGTCTTTTATCTTCCCTGCCGAGCACATCTTCACTTCCAGGTTCTTTTCACCTCTTATCTGTTGGCTGTGGAGAAGCTGACTCCCACCTCCATGAGACCATCTCTCATTGCTGCCTTGCTTACAGAAAGAAAAGTGCTCATTGCGGACTGAACACTTTAACTAACTTCTCACCCTCCCTCAGCCTGCCCAGTAAAACCCCTTTGCAGAGTGCCTGCAAAGCCTAGAGGACACATTGGCTAGAGAGATACTGAGGCTCTTGCCTTTCAGACTGACCAATACAGCCCTTTTCTCTTGCTGTTTTCCAAGCAATCTCAACTTAATCCGTTGTTCCTCGTCTAATATCAGGGGGCTGAAGCATCTCCCCTATGAGGACAGGCTGAGAGAGTTGTGCTTATTCAGCTTGGAGAAGAGAAGGCTCTGGGGAGACCTTATAGCAGCCTTCCAGTACTTCAAGGGGGCCTACAGAGAAGCTGGGGAGGGACTCTTTACCAGGGAGTGGAGTGATAGGATGAGGGGTAACATTTTCAAACTGAAAGAAGGGAGATCTAGATTAGATATTAGGAAGAAATTCTTTACTCTGAGGGAGGTGAGACACTGGAACAGGTTGCTCAGAGAAGCTGTGTCTGCCCCCTCCCTGGAAGTGTTCAAGGCCAGGTTGGATGGGGCTTCGAGCAACCTGGTCCAGTGGAAGATGTCCCTGCCACCACAGGCGGGTTGGAACTAGATGGTCTTTAAGGTCCCTTTCAACCCAAACCATTCTGTGATTCTATGATCAGCTACAATGACAAAAGCAGAAGTACCAACAAAGATCATAGATCTTTAAGGCCAAGACCTGACTACTGTCATTTTCAAGGAAGGGGTAAAGACCTGGTGCAAGCACCAAAGCCTGGTACACACCAACACTCGTTTATGGCAGCTCCCCTGGCAATAAGGGCAGGCATCATTTACTCACCTTAAGCCTGACTTGTTCATAAATAACGATGGGCCTATTGCTGAAGGTAATGGCATTGCAGAAGCTAGCCTGGCGCTTCACTGCCTTCTGCGTCGTGTCCATGATGATCTGAGATCCCTTCGTGTGAGGATGGAAAAGCAGAGGGCTGATGGACAGAGCTCCACACTGTGGGATGGGGAGACAGTGCTTCTGCTTGTGGTGGCATCGGTGCGAGGACGCTGAAAATGATCCTCCTATGGAATCTGTAAGCAGAATGAGGAGAAAAGGGTTTCAAATCTGCTGTGAGTAATAAGTAAAAAACTTCCAATGCAAAAAACAAAGCAAGGGTACTTCAGAGGGGAACTACAGATCAAAATAAAAGCTAGTCAAATCCCCACTCTGCAAATCACTAAGGGTTTCTAGAGATCTTGAGCAATGAAAAGGCTACAAGGATACTGAAGGCTCCCACCTGGACAGTCTGATAGTACTGAGCACGACATGGAGACCACAGCTCAGCACTGAAATCACAGGCCATCTTGAGGCCACACATCAGAAGAGAAGGCGAGAATTGGTTCCAAAATGGGAGCAAAGCATGTGTGAAGTTGCTGTATCAAAACTGTCACACTTAGGGAAAAATCTTCTATTTTGAGAGCATTCCCACACAACTTGACCATTTCTCTCACTCCTCCTTTGCAACAGCAGCTCCATCTATCCTTGCCTCTATGTGTTTTTGGATGTTGTCCTACCCACCCATGCTAAGAGCCAGCTCAGAAACATACATTGCTAATTTATACTCAAGCACCGCTTGCCAATAACCCACCTGGATTCCTCCACCAACCACCAACCATTCTCCTCTCTCGTCCACTAATGGGAACCTCAGCTGAGATCCCACTTGTCACGAAGGAATTGATCAGCACACTATGATTATGGTGAGGAAAGGGAAGAGAGAGAAAGGCTATGAAGAAGGGAGGAGACTATATCTTCATCTAACCCAGGCCCTACACAAAGAGTCAATGCACGATCAACACAGGCACGACAGCAGCTTTGTTCATGAATAAATAGATGTGTTTCTTTTCAATGTGGAGCCTGAAGCAGTTCAAGCACAAAGCAATCATTATACTGAACACAAGTCATCTGCCTCCTTTTCCTTGTGTGCACATACACGCTATATTATGCACATATGTTTGGGAGGAGATACTCATAGATTTGGAAACAGTATCAAGAGAATAAAGAATTATTCTGTGATAGACTTAGGGAAATATGACTTTAGCGATGTGTCAGTTCGTGCTGTAAAGTTGCATGACTAAACAGTATGGTTAAAAACTCATTCCTCAAACATGCAAACTATAGAAATTAATTATATACATTCTTCAGCAAATTAATTGCTGACAGTTATGTCTTTATATAGCTACTACAAAATAATGCTTGTAATGTAACTCTTGGCTTTGTAATAAAAAGCCTGGACCCTATTCCTCCTAGCCTTTGGGGTAGCTATGTGAAGTTGTAATGGCACATCATCACAGCAACCCTGAATAACTACCAACAGAACTTAAAATCATGGTTTCTGATGAGAACATTTTAATTCAATTTCAGCATCAGTCACTCCAGCCTCCTCCTCTCATCTTCTTGCCATTTTTTTCTCTCATTTTCAGCAACAGTGCTATCCCTTCAGAACAGAATAGGGAGGCCAGACAAACAGGGCTGTTACCTTTAAACACTTTCATTAATGCTTTAAGGGAGAGATGAACCAACTGGGAGTTATTTGATGTTAAAAATTGTGCTAAAAATAAGTCATCTTCCTTCTCCTGTTCGTCACACACGAAGGAAGAGAAATAAGGTGCAGATCCCAAGAAGTAGAGACTCACCTGAGCAGGCAGGTCAGAGAGGGAAAACTTCAGGAGGAACAGACTGCATGGAAGCAGTAGCTTGATGTGGGAAAGGTCAGGATGCAGCAGCTTACATGACCCTGACCTTTTCCCTTTGGGCACACTACTGACATGGGGCAGTGCACCCTGCCTCTTCCCACAGCCCAGACTGGGTGCTTAGAAGACAACAAAAGCTGCAGCAGACAGAACCTTCTGAGGTTACCTCCTAAGGCCTGTTTAATTAGAAGCTGTCTTATGCCCCAAAGAACAGGTTCCCTCTTGAACCCTGTTAAGCACTTGGCTTTAGTGATAACTTGCTGATCAGTTCCTCAGGCTTAATGTTATTTTGCAAAGAAGTAGTTTTTTTATCACTGCAAACATGGTGCTTTTCACCATCACAAATGTTTATGAGCCAGAGCCAGCAAAAGTGGCCGACTTAACCTTGCTCCACTCCACCTCCCCAGGCGGGTCATGCTGGTCTGTAGGGACAAGACCATTGACAGATGGTCACAGTAAACCATCCCAGCCTCTCTTTTGGCAGAAATTTTTCAGGCTACTGGATCTCCTCACTATCTCTTAGCTGCCCCTCTGCCTCTGCTATATCCCTTTATTTATAGGTAGACAAAATAAACACTTAGTGTAAAAACTTCCATTCCTAAATTTTTCAGCTTCTTTAAAATATATAGGAAGTCACAAGCCATTTCTGAAACAAGACACATATTGAGGGATATAATCAATTGCTTGAGATGATTTAAAGTCAAGGGATCCATAGAAAAATATTAAAAACTCTTTTTCTGATCATTTCCAGTCTTGTTTTTTTCAACACCTCTTTGATAGTTTCTATGGGTGCATATATGTGAAGAGAAGAAGCTAACAGTGAATATACTTTGAATTCACGCCATCTTTGCATCTAGATTTGAATTTTGTAGCTCAAACTTTTTGCTAGCAGTGACTCACCAAAGCAAACTTGTGCAGCACAAAGTCACACACATTTTAACCTGTTTGCATATCTCAGTGCTCTAATTTTACCAGATAACTTGGCCATGGTAATAGCTGCCGCACCTCTCCATAGGACATTGTGCCCTTTTAAAATGCAGTAATGGAGTCACCAAAACTGCCCCCAGCTTTCAAAACAGGCTCCAATAACAACACCTCCTATGTCCAGAGCACCCTCCGGAGAAGCATTACAAAGCTGTAGGGTCCTGCCTGACCCCACAGGAAGGATGTTAGAGGAATGTTTATTTGCTGTGACAGTCCAGCACCGCTACGTGAGAATGGGTCAAACCCATGCCAGTCTAATGCCTGCAGGACAAGAGGCCCCCATGCAGACAGCTGGAACACAGGGTAACCATGCTGTACAGGAATGAAAGAAACCACCCTAGGATCAGCTTCCACAGACAGATAATGCAAACAGGGAGGAGACCTCCTTCTTTCTCCCAAATGCTCTTACACAGCAATGACCCCTGCATGATGAACATGCTCAGGTAAGGTCCAGAAAAAGTCTTAATTTTTAAAAAGTGCAACTACTTAATAATGGTGTTTTGCACCTTACAAATACTTGGAGAAGTTACAATGCAATGGGTCAAATACGGAGGCCTTTGTTCAACTTTTTCAGGCCACCACGTCCACTCCAAAAGGAGGAGACACCATGCGACCTCAAATGGCAACACAAGCACCTAAGACTGGACTTAGACAAGGAAAGGGACACTTTAGCAACACAAGCTGGTAAGATGCATTGCTGTCCTTGCTTAACTGTCTAAAAATAAAATAAATCATCTGCTTAAAGTTTTTGTTCTCACTGGGCTGGATCTGGGCTCCAGCCTTCTCCCCTCCCCTTGTTTAAGCTACTACACATTTTGACAACCTCAGCCTTTGCTACCAGCAATACCAGTACAATACAGCTGGTGCCCTTGCAGTAGGTTTCTTTTTTTTTTTCTTTATGTGAAAGAATTGAGTGAAATTCACAAACCCAGAGTTTCAGCTGGCAAAATAGGCAAAAGTCCTTCTGACTTCACAGCAACCATTCAAGGCTTCATCAACTGAGAGTATGTCCCAGACTCCTCCTCAGCCACAACCTGACTGGGTGAAGTAATTGCTTGAAATAAAAATTGCAAACAAGTATTTGAAAGAAGGCTGAAATATGAAAGTATGTTCTGCAAGTTTCCCATTCCACAACATAACACAACTTCCCCCTGACAAGCAGGAGTTGTAACAACATGCCAGGACTACGCAAAGTGGTGTCTTGTGACAAAAGTCACAAGAGCAAAATCATGCCTATCTGAAAACACCCTCCGTGTCAAAGGGCAACAAATCTAGAGATGCACCACGGACCCCCATACAGCTTTCCAGGTTTCATGTTGGGGGTCACAAAGAACAGCATCTGCTCACACTTATGGTTTTAAAGATTGGATAGACTTCTGTTTTCAATTCATGCCCAATAATAGATGCAGTTTGAACTATTTCATTCAGTACCAGGTTTGAATGCTGAACACAACCTGTCCCTAATAACATGAGCACCGCCAAGAGAGCAGCAAAAGTGGTAATGTACCACTTGCTCCCCTGAGCCACAAGCACATGGGCTGGATCTTCTGAAACCTTTAGTAAGCCAAGGTCAAGGAGACATTAAAATGAACTGCAATGTGAAGCAGTCTGAACCACTCTTCCTTCAGTGTCTCAATCCTAAGTGCATCCTTTTCAGAGCCCTGTTTGAGAAAGTAGAATACTGCCCCAAGGGTGGCATGCTTCTCTCTTCATGGGCATTGGATGTCTCTGGTTTGGATCTCAAGGCCTGAGCAATATCCACACACTATATAAAAGGCAGCACTTGATGTTCTTAGCTTAGCAAAATGCATCCCAAAGCCTGTTAGAGGTTTTCACCAGAAGCGTTCATGCTCTGCAAACATTAGGCATAATCTTAAAAGGCTTAGGATTTCTTAAATACTGCAAGAAATGACTGGATTTAATTTTTTTTACATACATCTTTTCCAGTCGAAAAAATCTCGATAGGCACCCATCAGAATACTGTCAAAACTCATTTCAGACTGAAAACTAACTGCAAGGTATTTAAGAGCATGTGAAATAAGTGGCATTCAGAACTGAAAGAAACAGAAAAGACGACTTCAAAAAAGAGTCCAGGGACTGATATGGAGTAGCAAGTGGGAATGATAAACCCCTGCCCACCTAGGGAGGAGGACAGAAGAGGTCCATGGGTAGTGACAGAGGTACCTGTCCTGCAGGCTAGTGACAGTGAAATGAGTGGACAGGGCAAAACACCACACTATGAAAGGAGAAAAGAGTTTCAAAATTACTACATTATCAAAAGAGGCTGACAGTGCTTTATCTGGCAGGTGGCCTTACTGTATAAGCATTTAAAAGGAAGGATTGTTGAGAAGGAAGAA